AATTGTGAGTTTTGCAATTTAAAAATCTATCATAAGATTAAGGAGATCTGCTACCCCCCCCCTACTAAACAATCCGTGGGTTATTACGATCGTAATTGTTTAAAATAAATGTATTCAAAAAGTCATGTAAATAAACAAACATTTAAATTTAGCGTGAAGTAGAAATGTATTTGACGTACCTACCGAGTGCCGAACGATTGGCACTCCTGTTTAGGTGGGAAAAGGAAGGGGGGAAATACGGCATTCGAGAGCAGGGTTGTATTGAATTTTATCTAGCTAAATGTCAGGATTGTACTTGAGTTTATTTAATTATTTTAATAAATATTTCTTAAAGGGGATTTATCATAAACTCTGTGTAAATTAAGTGTAATGGATATCGATTTTCTTGAATACTGGATTTATTAAATTGTACTCGCAGATTCAGATTTATGTCCCGTAATTAGTTAAGTGGTTTTTACCAGTCATATTAAATTATTTATTATTACATTTGAAGTGAGTAGCAACGGTAATTGTGCGATACCGACATATAATTTATCACCAATGTCCGTGGAGTCCTGATACAAGTCCATTTAAATTACTATCCTGTAAATTTTAAGAGGTGCGTAAAGGTCTGGATTCATCTGAATGAGCAACTAATGTAGGACGGGGCTCATACTATTTTTTTAAGCATTTAAATACATAAATATTTATTTTAAGATTCTGTCACTTTAAAATTAGGTCCACACATTTTAGCATTATTTTTTTAGATAATAATAATTTGACTTAAAAAAACAGTGTGTACACCCTCAATTTATTTATTATCGTTTTTTGGCGAGTTTGCAGTCACCAAAAGACTTAATAAATTGATAATATAATATATACAGTGTGACCCATTCATTTGCGACTCACCACTGTAAAATCTTTATTTATTGTGCGATTTTAATAGGATTTGTTTTAAAGTGTATATCTTGATAAACTGTATTTTTGGAACAAAAACGCCATATTAGTACAAAATAAAAGGTCTACTACGTCAGTTTTTAAGAGTAAATTTTTAAGAATTCATATTAGTGATTTTTTTAAAGAAAATTTAAGCACGGCACTGGATTCACCACCCCTCAAAACGACCCTATACTAAATTTTAAGTAGAAAAATGCACAATAATAACTACAAAAATTTATTTTGTCAAGTTATCCATGAAAAAACATTGAAAATTAACATTACTACTATTAAAGGGCTGGATACTCCCGTGGACGAGTTTTGGTTCGTGCCGCGCATGACGTCACTTGATGAGTAGTTGTCGTGCGAATACACGAATAATAGTAATATTATCAAAGAAAATAGAGAAATATGTGGACATAGTGCGTTTATGTCCACAAAATGTTTAGAGGAAACAGAAGCGGTCTTAACGTTAATATTGTCTATTATTTTTGTGGCATTTAACCACTGTTTGCACAAATCAAAGTTTTTCGTGAATCGATGAAATTTAATGTTTTTATTTAAAGGGTTTTGGTTGTCCGAATTGCATCCAAATATGCCACACCGCATTTTATTAAATGCAAATGGCACGACACAAACTAAAACACGAACAAAACAAGTTAACGCAACACAAGAACAATAATAAACAAACAGAACAGGTTAACACAACGCAATAACAATAATTTAAACACCGAAAAGTAATTTGAACCTTACCGAACGCAAAAACAACAAGTTAAACAAAAAAATAGAGCAAGTTAACATCCAACAGCATCGCAAAACCAAAAATTTTAGCAGCAGATAATTAAAACGCACGTTAAAGATTTAAAAATACTTAACAAGTGACGTATTTAAGTCCCGCCCAACATGCGCACCATCCTATGGTGTGTTTGTATCTTGGTACTATTACTATAAGTTTAATTTTATTTCAATGTTTTTTTCATGGATAACTTGACAAAATAAATTTTGTAGTTATTATTGTGCATTTTTCTACTTAAAATTTTTCAATAAAATTTAGTAAAGGGGTGGTGAATCCAGTGCCGTGCTTAGATTTTGTTTAAAAAAGAACACTAATATGAATTCTTAAAAATTTACTTTTAAAAAATGACATAGTAGGCCTTGTATTTTGTACTAATATGGCTTTTTTGCTCCAAAAATACAGTTTATCAAGATCTACACAAGATCACACTATGGGGCAAAATTTGCCAAGTGTACCAGGTGAAAAAAATTTTCTCACCGATTTTGTTTAAACTTTACTTATTTGTTGTTCTTACAACGAAGAATCATAGCATAAAATTTTTTTGCTCTAGGATTGTTCATTGAAAAGTTATGGATTATTGAAATTTATCGATTTTTTACTTTTTGGTGAAATCGCTTTTTATTTAAAAATACATAACTTCTGTTCATCTCTTTATTAAATATTTCAATTTAACCACCTTAAATGATTTTTTCCGTACTTTTCAATGGGCTATACCGTTTTTGCAAACAAACAAAATTTGCAATTTTTTTTTGAAATTTTGCATTTTTTGAAACAATGTGTATTTTTTATTTTTTTTTAAATAGCATAAAATCGAAGTTTATTATGTTACCTTTGAATAAAAAAAAAATTAGAGTTGGCCCGACATGTAGAAGGGAAGTTTTTCATATTTGAATGCGTGCGGGTCTAGCCATCGAATAGCTACTACTCTGCCGTATGCGTTTATACCTAGTAGATGCGAGTAAACGAATACAAATAGGCGCCATTCAGCTTATAGGCAAGCCGTTATGGTTATAACAATAAATTTTTTATTTAATATCATCGATCCTCCTTGCGAAATCTATGTAGACCCATGCTTAAACAATTTGTGCAAAAAAATACAGTTAAAAAACTATATCGTGCGGCAGTGTAAATATTTAAAATACATCATTGACTACTCAAACATAATTTTACATTTTAAATTATCATTGTGTATTCGTTTAGTCGCATCTACTAGGTATAAACGCATACGGTAGTGTAGTAGCTATTCGATGGCTAGACCCGCACGCATTTAAATATGAAAAACTTCCCTTCTACATGTCGGGCCCACTCTAATTTTTTTTTTATTCAAAGGTAACATAATAAACTTCGATTTCATGCTATTTTAAAAAAAAATAAAAAATACACATTGTTTCAAAAAATGCAAAATTTTGCAAAATTTCAAAAAAAAATTGCAATTTTTTTTTGTTGCAAAAACGGTATAGCCCATTGAAAAGTACGGAAAAAATCATTTAAGGTGGTTAAATTTAAATATTTAATAAAGAGATGAACAGAAGTTATGAATTTTTAAATAAAAAGCGATTTCACCAAAAAGTAAAAAATCGATAAATTTCAATAATCCATAACTCTTGAATGAACAATCCTAGGGCAAAAAATTTTTATGCTATGATTCTTCGTTATAAGAACAACAAATAAATAAAGTTTAAACAAAATCGGTGACAAAATTTTTTTTCACCTGGTACACTTGGCAAATTTTGCCCCATATATAATATTATCAATGTATCTTTTTGTGACTGCGAACTCGCCAAAAAACGATAAGAAATAAATTGAGGGTGTACACATTTTTGTACTCTTGATAAAGAGTATATAATTGAACAGTATGTGTGTGATGCGCAGTACCTATTTTTCTCAACTAATTTACTAATCTTAGTAGACTGAACTGAAATTACCTTAACTGACTAGCTTAGAACTTACAATTTACGATAAAACGTATTTCAAACTGGGGTACCAAAATCGGGATCGCCTATTCCGTCGGCGTTAACGCAGTTGGCGTTGTACACGTATCTCGCCAATAATTTTTCCTTCCGTTGATCGCTATCGTTTATTTCTTCGTTAGGGCACAATCGTAAGGCTTTCCCGACCCTCAGGTTCTGTCCGTGCAAGCTAAAATACTTTTTAGACCCGGTCGCTTTGTTCAACGACAAGTTCACAACGCTTTGCGGCTCTGGCACCGTAGCTGTACTGAAATTCTTCATGAAAATGTCGGAAAGGAACGTGTGGATGTTTTCTTCGAACTGCTCGGTGGTGTCCAAAGCCTCGTTCCATTTTATTACCGGCTTCAGTTCATCGATTTTTTCTTCAACAGGTGGTGGTTGTGGTTTGGGCTCTTTGCTTTGTTCCGGCTCGTCACCGAACTCGGAAGCCGTTGTTGATATATCCGAGTAGCCATCCTGCTTGTTGAAAATACTTTGCAGAGTTTTTACCCCAAAGTATTTCTTTCTTTGTTTGCGTGGCCTGCAATAATCGCGGTTCTCTTTGCGTATTGGCGAACTGTCACACGATTCGCCTGAGTTTAGAAGGCTTTGGTCGCTTTTAGGGTTCGACAGCGAATCATTTGACGCGTAAACTTTATCTCGCGAAGGTTCATTTCTTTGAAATGACAAGTTTTCATAGTTAGCATTTATGTTTCTTTTTGTTTTATTATCGTCTGCAGCTTGAAACTGCAAGTTTTTCGGCGACTGAGAATCGTTGGAAGCAATATCAGTCGATAAAATTTCCGAATCCAAATAAACATCGGTACTTGTCTGCATCGATGATGATAGATTTTCAGAGTTCAGAGAGTTCATTGAACAGTTGAAATTGTTATTATCGGGGCTCTTTTTGCACTCAACAGTATTAGAGGCTGTTTTTTCGTTTTCGTTCATATTATTGGTTGTAGTTAAATTATCCAAGTTAAGAACATCTAAAACTTTATCGTCCTTTATAAGCTGTTTATTGTAAACTTCGGAGAATTTCCCATCCGTGCAATTTAGGTTAAAATTGTATATATCTGTTTTTAATTCGGCGCCATTTGGGAGATCAAAAATGTGTTGCCTGTTGTTTAGTTCTGCTGATTGCAGACTGCTTCTTGATTGTACACTAAAAATATTTTAATATGCGTTTTATATTTTGTTATTATGTGCGACATGCTCTGACACTGATCATGCAAAATTACAACTGAAAATTAAAAAATTAAAATAAAACCTTATTTATTATTTAAAATTTATAATATTTTATTTCGGTAAAACAATAAATAATAAATTAACAATAAAAAGCAACACTTACAGTCTACTATTATAAACTTAGGCTAAATTGTTTATATTTACAAAATAGATAAAGTTACAATAATCATTATCTATAAAAATTGGAAATCACATATATTGCACGTGCATAATACTTTAAAACCGTACTAATAAAATTAGTTCGTGTAGATTTAGGAAATGGTTTGACTGGTCTGATTAAGGTGCTTGTGTCACTCACCGACTAGTTGCCGTTGATTCAGGTGTTCTTGGCGCAGTCGGCGTGTTCAAAATTTCGTCGCTATTTTCACGCGGATTTAGCGTACCGTTAGTTTCACACACTTCATCATCAAAAAACCTAAATGAAAACAAATTAAATACATTAAATTTTAATTTATGCCTAAGATTTCCATTGTGTATTTTTTATTTTAATTTTGTTTGATACAACGAAATACTTGGTTATGTATAGTAAATTTATGAGCTTTTGAAATTTATACTTCTACAACTTTTCTCCTTTATTTAAAACTAAGAAATCGATGTAAATTATTGCCTTAATAAAACAAAAATAACACTATGATAGTTCGAATAGTTCGAATTACTAACATTGAGTACGCCCACCTATATTACCTAATTTTGGGCCGCTGATTTCAAAAATGTCATTAGTTTTTCTCTAGGACGTCTAGGATTCGAAATAATTGCGTAATAAAATGCTCTACCCAATTATCTCAAAATGTAAGTTTTTTGTTAATATTTTGATTATTTATTAATTATTTTGCCTTAAATCTATTAATGGGGACATAAGAAAAACCTGGAAATGTATTAATTCCATAATAAAAAACAGCCACTGCCAGAAAAAACGGGTGACGTTCACAATATCGAAATTCATTATATCGAATTCAAAATATCGAACACTTTTTATCGAAAATCAAAATATCGAAAATACAAAATGTCGAAAATCAAAATATCGAAAATTAAAATGTCGAAAATGATAATATCGAAAATTAAAATGTCGATTTGAAAATGTATTAATTCCATAATAAAAAACAGCCACTGCCAGAAAAAACGGGTGACGTTCACAATATCGAAATTCATTATATCGAATTCAAAATATCGAACACTTTTTATCGAAAATCAAAATATCGAAAATACAAAATGTCGAAAATCAAAATATCGAAAATTAAAATGTCGAAAATGATAATATCGAAAATTAAAATGTCGATTTGAAAATGTCGAATAATTAAAATTTCGAAAATTAAAATGTCGAAAATGATAATATCGAAAATTAAAATGTCGATTTGAAAATGTCGAATAATTAAAATTTCGAAAATTAAAATATCGATTTAAAAATATCGAAAATTAAAATGTATGATTAAAATCGAAGTGTATATGTACAGAGGCGCCTCTGTAGATAAAGTTACGGTTATGCACCGAATTATCTTGGCTCCCTGGCTCCTAGAGATGCGCGTTTTATAGAAATGTACTCAAACTCAACAACACAACCCAACCGACCCCGCCCCATTGGCCCCCCCCCGCCCCATTGAGCAAAAAACCCAACTAAAATGGGCAAATTCATGTTACGATAAAAATAAAACACTTTTTAATTACATAAATTAGCCCATTTTAGTTGGGTTTTTTGCTCAATGGGGCGGGGGGGGGCCAATGGGGCGGGGTCGGTTGGGTTGTGTTGTTGAGTTTGAGTACATTTCTATATCAGAGGCGCCTCTGTACATATACACTTCGGATTAAAATAATATGTCGATTAATTGAAATATTTAAAAAGCCTACTTCTACAGCTATATATTTTGTGTTAGCAAAAATAAAATTTGTTGATTACCATATATATACAAACCCAAACTCCATATTATGGAGTTTGGGTTTGTGTTGTTTTTTTCTGTGAAAAATAGGGAAGTAGATCATTGAACGCGAAATTGAACGACCATTTAATATTATACAATTTGACAAATATGCTAAATAAGAATTTTTTTCCACCCGGTGTACGTTTAATGGCGATACTCCCGGTGTACTTCTAGTCACTTTGTAATTTTTAATATTCAGTAATTTCGATATTTTATATGTCCATATTATTATAATCGATATTTTAAGCAGTCGATATTTTATTTTCGATAAATTGAAAATTCGATTAAATAAAATTTAGACATTTTGTATTTTCGACATTTTAATTTTCGACATTTTGTATTTTCGATATTTTGATTTTCGATAAAAAGTGTTCGATATTTTGAATTCGATAAAGTGAATTTCGATATTATGAACGTCGATATTTTATTTTCGATAAATTGAAAATTCGATTAAATAAAATTTCGATATTATCATTTTCGACATTTTAATTTTCGATATTTTGATTTTCGACATTTTGTATTTTCGATATTTTGATTTTCGATAAAAAGTGTTCGATATTTTGAATTCGATAAAGTGAATTTCGATATTATGAACGTCACCCAGAAAAAACAGGATATATCAAAAATGAAGATTAACCAACATACTATTATCAATGAAAGAGAGATAGCAGATCATATTAACAAATACTTTGCGGGGGTGGGTGAAAGCTTGGCAAATAATATTCAAGACATCCCTTTAGACATGAATGAAGTTCTGTCCAACAACGCCTGAAGAGGTCGGAAAAATAATTAGTGCTCTAGACTCAAACAAGGCTACAGAATCCGACCAAATTGACAGTAAATCAATAAAAAAATGTGAACATGTGTTAAAAAATATTTTATGCAAACTCATTAATCAATCATTTTCATGTGGAAAAGTGCCGGACAAAATTTAAAGTGCTAGAGATATCCCCTTATATAAATCTGGAAGCAAAGAAGACGTTAACAATTATAGACCGATATCGGTGCTTCCTGTTATGTCAAAAATCCTTGATAGACTTGTTAAGTATTTAAAAAGCATTGATTTTCTATCAAATTGTCAATATGGCTTTCGCAGATCCAGTGACACTGCTTCTGCAGCTGTAGACCTAATATCTGAAATCCAAATTAAAATCGATCAAGGAATGAAATGCGCGGTAGTGTCCCTGGATTTGCGGAAGGCATTTGACACGATTAAATACGATATCTTATTAAAAAAATTAAATTGTATTGGTATAAACGACACGGAAGGCGATTGGTTTGCAGATTACCTGTCCCATAGAGAACAATTTGTTCAATTGAGGAATACAAAAAGTAGTATGGCAAAGATCACTTATGGAGTCCCTCAGGGCTCCATACTTGGTCCTACAATCTTTTTGACCTATAAAATTCAATGTCAAGTTTAAATTTATACGGACGTATAATGTTATACGCGGATGACACCTCATTGGTATACTTTGATTCCTCAGTCGACAATATTAGAAGATTTATTGCCCATGATATGAATTTGATTGCAAACTGGCTAAACACACACAAACTTACTTTAAATGTCAGTAAGTCTCCTTTTAGGGGCCGTTCATTAATTACGTGAGGTGTTTAGGGGGGAGAGGGGGTCGAGCCAAACCTCACCAAATCTCACGTGGGGGAGAGGGGGGGTCTCGGCAAATATCACGTAATTTTTTTTTCCGAAAGAAAGAGTGTAAAATTGCGAGAAAACCGGGTTAAATTAAGTAAACAATTATAAGCAAATTGTTTTTTTAAATAAATCTAATGGAATCAAGCACAGATTAACTTATTTACATTAAAACCATGCATTTTAAAAAATCTCACGTGAGATTAAGGGGGGGGAGAGGGGGTCGAGCAAAATCTCACGACATCTCACCAAGGGGAGGGGGGGGGTCGAAAAATCGCCAAAATTGTCTCACGTAATTAATGAACGGCCCCTTATGTGGATCAAACGATCAAATAATATAATCTATGACAGCAGACCAATCGCGTTCAAACCGATTCCATGCCATACCGGGATGCATATTCGTATCGAACGTGGCTTACTGCACATTGGAAAAGCGCGAACTAAACTGATATCGAACGCGCGTTATTGCACAATACTGTGCAATATCAGTTGTTTGAAACGGTCCACGGTTCGCATGGATAAATGGCCATAAAGTAATGAAGGTATATGGTAATTTTTTGAATAATATTGAATGTTGCAATTAGAAACACTGAATTTAGACTAGAGGCTAAATGTAGCAAAGTATTCCTTAAGGTTATGACGAATAGCTGTCATCTTGGTTATGCAGGCACACTGCATTGTGCCATACCAAACCAACCCAAACTTAACAACCCAACCCAACCGACCCCGCCCCATTAGGCCCCTCTTGCCCCATTGGGCAATAGAGGTATAATATATCTAAGGGCAGGCTGGATTGTGACAATGGGGCGGGGTCGGTTGGGTTGGGTTGTTAAGTTTGGGTTAGTTTGGTATGGCACAATGCAGTGTACCTGTTTCTAGTATTAGTATAACGAATGGTAAAGTTAATATGTGAATGACGTTTTTTTGTAATTACCTGATGTATAAAGGAGTTTACTTATATTGTTTAATGACATAATTTTAAAATTATTATACAGGGTCCTGCAACAGTGCGTCGGGCTTTCCTAGTGCCTTTAAAGTGAGGGATAGAAAAAAAAATTTCCTACAAAAAATTGTTGGTTTGAAAATCTTTATGCCGAGAAATTATTTTCAACAATACAGGGTGTTCCATTTTTGCGGTATAACAAAAACATACATTTTTTTAAATGGAACACACTGTATTTATTTAAGTTTTCCGATAACATCTTTCAACCTCTACATTGTTGTCCATTTACTTTTTGATTTAAATACAGTGTTGTCAACTTACAATTTTTTTTCCAAAAAATCTTGCAAAAGCAAGCTGAACTTTAAAGAATCGTAGCGACCTCAGTTTTTAAAGGTAAGAATTAGTTTTAGCAACAATCCCAGTGCAGTTAATAAGCATCATTTTGATTATGAGCAATTTAAATTTAGTAATACAGGGTGTTCAGAAATAAATGCCAAACTTTGCAAACTTCAGAGTGGTTTAACTAATTTTTTTCAAATGGAGTGCCCCATATTTTATGTCATCATTCGATAGGTCTTTTTCTCCTCTTTAATGTGATATGCCATATCTTATTTGTAAACCTCATAGTTGTTGAGATATTCAATATTTTTCGCAAAAGTAACCATTTCATTACATTTTTAAGTAGAAAGTGTTGGGACAAAACAATAGTTACTGTCAAAATGTAAGAGTCAAAATGACTTCTAATAACAAATAATACTAATACTAATAATAATAAGATTAATTATTTTATTCAAAAACCATGCAAGGTAAAAAAATTGAAAATACATAGTAAAAACGTTACTATAGTAATTGTTCAAAATGTCTTCCATTTTCATTCAGGCACAAATTAATTCGCTGCTGAAAAGACC